AAGCTTCTTTTCTCCTCTTTTCAAAATTGCTTTTTAACAACCTTAGATTTCTAAAGTTTTACTACTGGTAACTTTCTTTCTCTGAAATGTGCCTAACCAGGGTCTAGAGAGACTTCATGAGTCAGTTTTCCTGCTCCCACACTCAGTACCACAAGGGTCTGTGGTGAGGAAATGGATACTTTGCCTGGCAAATTTGCTGATTCAAGAACTGATATGATCCTGCATTCCCATAGTAGTTAGATTGCCACCATCAGCAGGACAGATGTTGGCCAAGAGAAACACCATGTTTATTTAAGATCCCATTCAGCCTTGATTCTATTCACCCTGGGGAGTTTAAGTACTTTTGTGGGGGAGGTTGTTTCATCCTATAGCACCATTCCTTTAATTACTATGAAGTGATTTTTAAGCACTGCTAGAAAATTTTATCTTAGCATAGCAGGGGAGTAAATAATCACAAATATGGAATAAAACGTTCCTTGTTTAAAACTTCTTATTTACAGTATTTCTTAAAATTTTACCTTTAGAGGTTATTCCTTGGTATTTATAGAATGATGATTTTAAATCATAAACATATTTGAACAGGGAAACAAATTAAGTAAACAGTCAGCAAACTTTTTCTATAAAGGGCCATCTAGTAAATATTTTAGGCTTTATGCTCCACATGCTATCTCTATTGCACATTATTCTTTTTCCTTTCTTTTTTACAACCCTTTAAAAATGTAAAGCTCAAGGCCTGCCTGGCCACAGGCCATAGTCTGCCAACACCTGCATTAAACTATAATGAGCTACTCACATATACCTGTGCTACTCACATATACCTGTAACTTTTTTGAGTTAAAGGCATCTGAAGAATAGGAATTTTGAGAGAAAGAACATAGAAGAGTAAAAGATTAACAATGTCTGAAAACATTCACATAATACTGCTAGGTACTATTTTAATCACTTCACCTATATTAATTGATTTAAGTCTATGATGGAAATAACATTATCTCCATTTTACAGATGAGAAAACCGAATTAGAGGGTAAGTAACTTGCTGAAGCTGACCCAGCTATTAAATGATTGGAACCTGAGAAGTCCAACTCCAAAGGTGATGATTGTAATTGCAATGCTTTGCTGACACTCAGAAAGAAACAATATTTTAATTCACTATAGAAACTACAAAAATAGGAATAATATTGTATAGGAAATAGAAAAAGAAACCAAAAAAGTCACCTGTAAATCTATCACTTAGAAGTAGCCACTATTTACCTTTCATTTATAGCCTTTTGGTTTTTTTTTTCCCAAAAAAATATTCCTTACATAACTTTTTTCTTTATTCAACCAATGAAGTAATTATCATACTTTTGCAGAGGAGGAAACTGAGGCTTAGAAGGATTAAGTAACTTTTAAAAGATCATAAAGCTAATGTGTGTGCAACCAGGATTTCAACCCGGGTTGTTGCTTCCACAGCCTGTGCTCCTAACCCCTGGCTTATACTGTATTTGAGTTTATACTACTTGCCACACTTAAAAAGTCCTTTTCTAACTCAAGTTTATAAAGAACAGTCACCCATATTTTCATCCAGTACTTCATTATTTTTCTTGGTTTTTTTTTTTTTTTAAGTCTTTGAATCATCTGGATTTTATTTTGAAATAAGAAACAAGGTAGAGATTCAGTTTTGTTTCTTTTCCAAATTGCTGGTCAATTGCTCTAACATCATTTAATGAATACTTTCTTTGCCCACTGCTTCCAAATGCCACCTTTTTCATATACTAAATTACAAGGTAATTTTTACCATTTTTGAATGACTGCATTCCATTTTTGGAAGATATTTCTTAAGGATCTGTCATGATTATCTAACTTAAGGGTTAATATGAAGAAAGGAATGGTGTCATGAGAATTTTCCTTTAAAGGTGATTTTTCCCTTAAAAAAATAAAAGTCAGGATTCAAGTGAGCATATTTTAGCTCAAACTCTACAGTGTTTATAGAAGTGTGAAAAATGGAAGCTGAACTTGAAGAAATATTAAATATTATCCTGTCCAACTCCCTTATGTATAGGTAAGGAAAATAAGGCTCAAAATGGAAAAAATTACTCATCTAATAAATAACGTTGCCAGTTAGTGTCTGTATTACACAGAATTTGTTCAGCTGCAAGTGACAAAACTACAACTCAAACTAATTCAAGCAAAAATGAGGGGGACTTTTTTTCTCTCTCAGTTTCTGTCTGTATATAGGCCTCATTCTCTCAAGCTCTTCTATGGAACAAGATACATAGCAGGTATCCCTAAGGTTGTATCCTTTAGAGAGAGATTCTAACTCTTAGTCTTGAACATAAAATCTAAAATAAAAACTCTGTTTGGCTTTCCTTTAGTCATGTGACCACCCCCATTGTTTCCTGGGAAGGGTGAGGGTGGCAGGAATAATGTGGTTCCAGCAAAATCATTTGGAGTTGGGGGGAGGCAGTTCCTCAAAAGAAAAGAGGTGTTACTATTACTAGAATGAAGAAAGGGAAGTTGGACAGACAAAAACATTTCTGTCTACTACAACAGTGGAGAGCCAGAATTAGAGTTGAGATATTTGAACTTTCATTCCAATCCTCTTCTCATTCCTCTATTTATTCATTTAACATATATTTACTAAGCACTCTATCAGGATTGTATTTAGCTGCAAGTACAAAATCCCCAGTCAATGGTGGTTTACATAGCAAAAAGTCTAGAGAGAGGAGTTAGTTATTGGCATTATCTTAAACCACGTAGTCACAGTTTCCCATCTCTCCCTGAAGACTTTCCAAACTCCTATTAAAAATAAATCTTTTCTACTTCTGTATTGCTGTAACAATTTGTTCAATAATTGTAAAACTGCATTCATTCTGCCTTGTGTAGAAACAGGTTTGGTGCATAAAACTCAATCTCCTCTGCTGTTAGCAACTCCTGAGGGCACAGACTAAGTCTCAGCCGTTCTTATGGAATCCAGGTGCCAACTGTCCACCCATTCTGTGTGTTTGCCAGCTGTACATGCTCCCTGCTAGACCCAGAACCCCCAAACCTAGAAATGCTCTGAGTTCTGAGAAAGTAAACCATATCACCTGACAACATCAGTGAACAAAGTAAATTTCACTATAAGTTTTGCCGTAGGGGTTACATAACACAACACACAGAAAAGCAACCTGCAAATCTCCCATTGAACTCACTGTCTCACATTTTCTTCCTTCTGGATAGTCCTGAAGACTTCAAATTCCTCTCCCCACCATTTTGCCCAAATTCAGCTGTGTGCCAGCTCCATCTCCACACTGGCACACCCAAACCCAGCTAGAGGCTCAGTAAAATAAAGTCCCATCTAGGTAACAGGTCCCAATCTTCTTAGTAGTGAGGGATTCAAAATAGCAGATAATATTAAATCATGCTTATAATAGTTAACATTTATTGGATATTATGTGTAAAGTGCTATTATCTCAGCAAGGCATGTTTTATTGTCTCCATTTTACAGTTAAGAAAAGGGAGACATGAAGAGGTTAAATAGCCCTATGTCATGCAGCCAAGAAGGAGAAACCAGAAATCAAACCCAGGCTTTTTGAATCCAGAGCCTGGGCCCTTAACCATTAAACTCAACTAACCTCTATAGCACCTAATACAATGCCTTCCCTAGTAAGTGCATCAAAATGTTGGTTGGATTAAATTTATATTTCTAAAATCATCAGAAATACTCTAGCTTCTTATATTTCTTTTTTCTTCAAGCTGCAAAA